GGGTTTGGGTGTGATATAAGGGCAGCCTCTAGCTTGAAGACAAAAAATATATTTGGTGATGGTACAAGCAAATATATTTATTCCACAGCGTGACACGAGACTCTACGTTTTCTAGATGTTTCTGAGAAGCCTTCGTTGAATCCTTATTGGAAACTCTAGATACTGATGAAGGACATTTTAGAATTTTTAAAAGTTACGAAAGAGATTAAAAGTTATGATAAAACGAAAGAGTAAAAGTAACAGGACAGTGTGTAGAACTATGGTCTACTACGATATTAGTACTGCTCTAATAATAGACCTAATCCTAAATTTGTAGATTCGTCATGATATAACTGCCTAATCTATAAGATCTTACGTGGAAGTCACACCATCGACTACGCCAACTCACTGTATCGTATCAATTACCAATACATGATGAAGAACAAGGTTAGGTTAGAGAAGGAACAATATATTTAATATGAATAGAGACCACGCCTGCATGGCCGAGCCATGCCACTCGATCAACTCCAGTCCATTCAATTCATTGTTCGCGCCTTCTCCATTGTTAGGTATTTCTCCGCGTTAAATATTGAATATCTATTTTCTGAGTAGTCTCGTATTCACAGCTTTGTGGATTGTGTGGCTATTGTCCAATGTCACTACACTACTCTCCCACCAGAATCAACGTGATGTTGGTTCGATACCAAATTGGATGGGATCGTCGCGCGCCGGAGGTTACCAAGGATAATAAGAATCCTCCGGGTATTGGTAAGCTGAAAGATAAATCAAAAAGAAGGCGGCAGCATCTGGTCGGGAAATACATGTAATAATTTTAAAATATCTGCCTTCATGTTTAAAACGCTTGAAATGAAAATTTGGGTGAAGATTATTTGAACTATAAAAAAATGGGGTTACAATAATAATAATAATAATACGATGCGTGTTAATAGCCGTTGGTTAATAACTTAACGTATAGGTAGTAAGTATTTTGTGTTTAGAAATATTAAAATAATGAATATTGTAGAAATGTTAATATTGGTATTAGTTTTGGTTTAAATTATGAAATCGGATAACGATTATGCCGGTAAGTTGTCCATAAGAGTTGAATTCCAATTGCATCTGTATCAGTAGGCTAACTGAAGGAACAAAAGTATTACCATGGTAAAGAATTCCAACTAGTGTTCTAGTTAGTTTGATACGGTTTATTTAGTTACGGGGAGATTTTCTCAACCTCATTTTTACTTGACCGTGATAGAATATAGTAATACTACAAATACACATGAATGGTTATCAAAATAAAATTTAAATACGTGAGTGATAATTATATGAATTTTGGACAGATAGCTAGGGACAAATCGTTAAACATGAGTGTATTCGTAAGAGACATGCTCTGGACTCAATGTTCTGATCTGCAATAGACTATTTATTTATATTTATACTTGCTGGCTGATTGGGCATACAAGTTAGTTGCAAGTATGCAGTTTATCATAAGGCGGAATAAGATTAAATTGAGATATAGTGGTTATAGGTTATTAAAATCAGTTAGGCCTGTGTCATATTACGAAGTGATGTGGTGCCGCAGGATGTATTCGGCTAAATAAGCTTTTACAAGATGATTAACAGTGAGTGATGCTCATGTGATTATCAGGAAGAACACAAGTTGTAACCAAGGGGAGTACACTCCCAACTCACGTCTATGATAATGGCTTGAACCTTAGTCAGTGTTGGGGTAAATTCGACATTGATGTTTTCAGTTTGCAGGAGATTTGCTCGACTGCTTATACTGATTATTTGCATGCATGATTGTGTCGCTAAACCTCCAATTAGACTGACAAGGTTTTGAGATATTTACTGAATAAGCAACCGATAGAGAAACATACTGTAATCATCTGTGATGGATGAAGATACCAAGAAAACAACACCATTTAATGGTAATTATAAGTCAATTTGTTGACCGATTTCGTTAATAGTTTTATTAATTTTATCAGTCATATTACGTGATTGTCAAGTTATGACAATCCTTTATGACGATATCCTGAAACTATTTAATTTAACTAGTTATAGTGTTGATTAAGGATTAGTCAGTAGAAAAATAGGTATTGTTGCTTTAGGTGATTCAAAATCATCAGAAATTTATAACGTTAAAGAATCCGAGACGCCTAATTTAATTATAAATTTCAATTTAGAAATATTCGTTTAGTGTTAATTCTAGTAGGCTACGGAGTTTTGATTTTAAACATTTGTTTAGCCAACAGCTACCTGGGGATTTAGTTATTTTACTAGTGCAGTTGATAGTACCTAAATTTTTAATCTTATTATCTAAACTATGTTCGCATTTTAGGCTGCTAATATGATAAACTAATCCATAAACCCAAATACGATTAGCAACAACGACTATGATGGGTTTATTGATAAATGTTAAAGGCGATTCAGATGATTTCTAAATTTAGAAGACATGGAGATATAGTATAACGTATGTATGGGCCAGGTTAACATGCAGGTTGTTGACGTATATGACGATTTAAAAATAATGAACATGACCAGAAAATAGTTTTAAAGTTTAGACTGCTTTTGAAACTTCAGGCAGGAATATGATGCGTTATAAACATTCCATAAGAAGTTACTGCATTTAGCCTAGGGACACTTACAAATATATGGCAAAAGGAACCGGAAAACATATACATGTTAAGTAAAAAAAAATCATCCAGTAAAATAGTTGAACTCGCCTGGATTATTTTTGAAAATTAGATTATTCAGTGGACGACATATATAACGCCATTCGTGAGGAGTAGTAATGATCCAAAAGCATCCAGAATAAAACATACAGTATGGCAATCACTTCCAGGGTGCTTGATGCTGTTGAGGTCTTTGGGACTCGCTCTGATCAGAACAACTGAATGAATCCAGATAATTGTGTGTGCCATCTAAAATGAACTTATGATTGCAGAAAACTTATAGCTGGAACTCACCGTATGTTTTTGGAGTAGTCATCCTCGTTGTTTGGCAATGGAACTCGAGAATATGAAATTAGGCAGGCAGTGGTCAGAAGAAAAGATATTACAGGATAGTGCATCGTTTAAAACAGGATGAGGTGTTAAGTGAAGGAACACTGAGAATTAGATCCAGATAACTATTTAGTCCTTGATCGCATTGTTAGTCAATGTATATTTACGCTATTTACAGGTCATATTTGCTAGAGCTTGATGTTTAAACAAGACTATGTCGCTGAAGCATGTAAATGCTATTACAGCTTGTTAACAAATCATCAAAGCTAATTAGTTAATATAGACGACCAGTTTTTATTATCGATTGAGCTAGTTTGTCATGAGGACTAATCAATATAACATTACGATAATGCATGTGAGCATTAATCAGAGGACTATTGGAATACAGGGTTAACATAAATATAAAATCGATCGAGAAAGTTGAAGTGGAAATAAGGATTAATAATATTAGGTTGCGTTTCTTTAGTTGGGCTCACCAATGTAGAACTGTGGTCTACTATGATATTAGTACTGCTCTAATAATAGACCTAATCCTAAATTTGTAGATTCGTCATGATATAACTGCCTAATCTATAAGATCTTACGTGGAAGTCACACCATCGACTACGCCAACTCACTGTATCGTATCAATTACCAATACATGATGAAGAACAAGGTTAGGTTAGAGAAGGAACAATATATTTAATATGAATAGAGACCACGCCTGCATGGCCGAGCCATGCCACTCGATCAACTCCAGTCCATTCAATTCATTGTTCGCGCCTTCTCCATTGTTAGGTATTTCTCCGCGTTAAATATTGAATATCTATTTTCTGAGTAGTCTCGTGTTCACAGCTTTGTGGATTGTGTGGCTATTGTCCAATGCCACTACAAGTGAACTTTTAAGTCAGACTTATCAATTTAAATGTTGATCTGCTGGGTTCAAACAGAGATGTTGCGATTGCTTTACCTTACATTAAAGTTACACTACTGACGACTTGTACACCTTGATTAACATATCACACGGAGAAAACACTGTTCTCACAGATAAACTTCGCCACAAATTTATCTAATTATTTAAGATCCAATGTAGGTATTATCATCCTTAGTTTCGCGTTATAATACATGTGGCCATACTTTAAAATAGACGGGTCACGTATCGCTTGATGATTTAAACCACGTTAAAGCTATATTGAGGTGTTTTTAATGCTCTACGTTTCAATTCCAACTAGATTTTGATCTATAATGGGTAATAATGCATATATGTAGATTTTTAAAAAATTAACGGAGCACAATATACGGATAGCGACGTACAGAAGCAACAGGGTTGTTGTGATAAAAAGTAAAGTCAGCATGATTAGTAAATTATAGTTACAAAACTTAATCTGAAATTATATACAAATAACCTATGATCTCGATGAAGTGTTTCATCATTCAAATAAGTTGCAGTAAACAGTGTACAGTTAATTAGACCAGGCGAATTTACTAAACATACTGAGACTTCAGATTTCGTTTGACCACCAGCTACGTAAAAATGAAATGGAAATCAAACGGCACGACACGTGATGTTTTCTAGAATCCTTCATAAGCACCACCAAGTTTGTTCTATGTGTTGACTTAGTGAGCACTTATTTCCTTATTACCAAACGAAAAGCTTCAAATATCGTTAAATTTTTTTAAGGACTAATCGTCCTATTTTTCCCGGTTAATTACACGGCTTTTAGTGGTGATGAACCAGTGTTATCCCGTTGTCACTACGGTTTTAACCACTTGAGACAACGTCGAGTCAGAATGAAGAGACATTTCAAGCGCAAATAATCCTAGCAAAACCTATCTTCCCGTCGACTTCTCAAAAGCAAATAAACACATAGTTAGCTTGCATCCACAAATTATTGATCTTTACTAAGTGAAAACACGACTCAACATAGATTATGGATACAAAAGAATCTTGCAAAAAAATCTGTGACTTCAAAAACATTGCACAATTTACCAAAAGGGATGTGAAGGTTTGTATAATGAATCATTATGATGAACAATGTTGATTTGTTTTACTTCCTAGATTGCGGTCTTGTTCGATTACGCGGGTTACGCATTGGGACTAGAGCGTGACTAAAGGTTGGTGGTTCTAATTTTATAATTACGAACTCTTTATATCCAGGAGTAATGGGTGCTTATAAGTTTATGCAGGAGCTTTACCGCCGAAAACAGTCTGATGTTATGCGTTATATACAACGTATGAGATGCTGGGAATATCGGCAATCTCATGCAATCGTTCGCGTAACTCGACCATCTCGTCCTGACAGGGCTAGAAGATTGGGTTATAAGGCCAAACAGGGCTATGCCATCTACCGTATTCGAATTCGACGAGGTGGTAGAAAACGCCAAGTTCCAAAGGGTGCAACGTATGGTAAACCTGCTGGTGAAGGTGTCAACCAATTGAAAAACCAGCGATCAATACAAGCAGTTGCAGAGGTAACTTAGTTATTCGATCTGACTGTTCTTCAGGAGCGAGTAGGTCGGAAATGTGGTGCTCTTCGCATTCTAAACTCCTACTGGGTTGGAGAGGATAGCACGTTTAAATTCTATGAAGTTATTTGCATAGATCCTTTTCACAAAGCAATCAGGCGTGACCCTCAAATTCGTTGGATATGCAAAGCTCACCAGAAACACAGGGAAATGCGAGGTCTTACATCCGCTGGTTACAAGTCAAGAGGTCTCGGCAAAGGACACAAGTACCATAAGACAATTGGTGGCTCTAGACGTGCAGCTTGGAAACGTCTCAATACTGTAGAGATGCGACGAAAACGCTAATTTTTTAATTACATGCCTTGGGTACGCAGTTTATTCTTTTTCTATTGCATGACTCCTATGAAAGGTGTATTCTTGAAGTTCAACACGCTAACCTGGTTGGAAAGCTTCCTTTTTTGCTTGTGTAAGTTATTTGACTACATTGTTAGGGAAGTGAGATGCGGGTTTCACTCTCCCCCAAGGCTATTTTAAAAGAAACCTCTTGTTTATCATCCTGGTCCATACAAACTACTCAAAACATATGGATCTTGCTATTTTAAATTACTTAGCTTGTCTGACAGCTCGTGTTGCACATTGCATCGAGATAATAATACACGCAGAAAATCTCTAGCAATTTTACATCAGGAACTAGTCGCAGTCAAAAGGACTCATGAACTGCAATCTGAATGTTTAGTTTCATCCCCGTTATTTCGACGAGTTTGTGTTTCCTTTCGGATTCCATTTTCCTGTTTTATTGACAGGTTAGAGGATACGCTTTGCTCTGTCTAGGTATTTATTGCGTACATTTGCTCATATATATCTTGGGCTACTAAGCTGATGATAAACGATAGTTCAGAGGTTGGTTTGTAGGCGTGTACGATTGAATAGTCACCTGTGGTTCCCTTCAGCTGTATGCACAGTTTTCCTGCTGAGAACCATACTTTACCTTCTTAGTCATCTCAAAATGCAGTACGCAGCTCTTGTCCACAGTAGTACTTATTCACCGATGGGTATGATGGTTACGGTGTCCATGTGCTTTTAAAAAGCTACTTCTTGTCTAAGCTTGCTCATTATTGGGGTGAGTGTGGTGATTTATTTTTTCAGTAACTGCAATCGTAAACAAAGACTTAGTGATTAATAAGGGGGAAGCTCGAGTAGTTCATCTCATTCCCTATCGATCCTTAAACTCAAATAGCCTCATTTACTGAATGATAATGGCAGAGGGTTCGCAAAACATTTGTTTTTATTGATGACAATAAACATTGCTTAGAGCTTATAATTCATCCTATCTGGCGTAACACTCAAATGATAATCAGTGTTTCTGCAGTCACATCCTTATCATTATCAGATAATAGATGTCTCTATCAATTTGTGAACTAGTGTATTGCTCGGCAGTTCGTCCCGTCCTACTTTAAGGCTGCGAAACGTGGTCACTAAGAGTACGAGAAACTCGTAAGCTACTAGTATTTGATTAATGGCGTCTTAGAAATGCTGCTCCTGTCTCATGAGGTTAGACCCAGGGTATTAAGGAATGATAGTAAATCAGTTGATGAGGTTCTAAATCTTCATGGATTGAGATGGTTGGGCCACATATTACGGACGCCCAACGGCCGATTATCACGAATTGCGATGCTGATTCTTGTTAAAGACTGTTGGAATAAAGGGGTGGTCAGTTCATGAAGTAACTAACTTCTAATCTGAGCCATCTTGGTAGATGCAGACTACTTGGTTGGGGTTCGTGTTAGTATCTTAATCAATAGTTGGAGACTGGGTAAGAATCGACCACGATTACGTTGGTATTTACTCTCCTTGAATCGTGAGGTTAAAATCACGTCATACCTCCGCTTCTGTATTATATTCGTGTACTATATTTTATATATTACTACTACTGAACTAACTATTTCCGTAAATTTGGTGTTGATCTTGTCCTAATGAAGTGTGGCAACTTTGACTGATGCGCATATATGCCTGGTTCTACGTTGTAGCTTACTGATAGTGGTTAGCGTATAATAAAAAAGTAATAATTAGTTAGCAGGGCCTAGATCTTGTCTCTTGTTAAAAGGTACAGAAGGCACGAAGTATCAAATAATCCATACATGTATGAATACTGGGTTCGCTCTAAGCTGTTCAATTGGGTGGCATCGTATTAGCGTATTCTGACAAGCAATAAGGAAATAGGTTTGTAGCAAAACACCATCTCTTTGTCAGTGTTTTCTAATGTAGTCGTTATCGTCATGAGCTCTAATCGTTCACTGGGACTCTATCAGTTCCCCACTTCACTATACGTACATACCTAAAATTGCGGTTGTAAAATGCGCCTGCGTACCCTGAAGTCATGTATGATTCGGTATACAAGCATCCACAACAATGATCTGAAGCACTAAAGGTATGTACAAAGTTATTTACAAACATGGAAGTGTATGAAGCTACCTGAAATGGCCAGTGTAGTAATTTCAAGAGCAAATACTATTTCGTGAGCAGTTGGTTTCCGGTCTCAAGGTTTTACTGCATACAGAAATAAACTGGGAACAAACGACAAGACGGTACTGCATATAGTCAAACAACAAACTGGAGTATAAGGTGTTCATACTTAGAAAGTAAATTAGCATACATATGTTTACAACACATTGAAGAGGAAAGCATACTCGCTATGTACCAGGTATGTCGATGGTTTGTCACTTAGCACCTGCTAAGCACAAAGCGTCCTTTCACATGTTATTGACAGTGGAAACAGTGTTTAGATCATCTACAGAGTCCAGTTAAGCAAATTACAGATGTCAGCAGTTAGACCTGAAAATTGCCTTTGAATATCCAACAGTAAATCCTCAATATTTCTGACATCCTTTTCAAATGTTCTTCAAAAGCGACACGACTATATTGATGATGAACAGCTAAAAAGTACATCGGCAGAAGTTCCCGAATTTATGGCTGCACAAAGTGAATCTTCTAGTCTTTAAGGCTGAATTTTTTTAGTAGATATGTCGGGATCTCCAAACATTCATTTATTTTCAAAATTAACTTTAGTTTTTTGTGTTTCGAGGTCTAGAGCAATGTATTTCTGTTAGCGGGACATAGACTAGATTAAAGCATGCTCAATGCATGATTGTTTTGGTGCACGCTGATTGGCTGATTCTTATCCAATCAGCACTAGTCGATAGTCGGAGAATACTCTGGAATCTTCTTATGTAAAAACTATAAGTATATCGACGTTTTCCCCTATTGTGCTTCTGACTTGCTATTTGGATTATAATCTTTTTCCTGTTCAACCGTGTTCTGATTTGGGGACTTGTCGAGTGAATCGGTGTCCGAGAATACTAAGCAATAGGAATAGTTGGGCCATAACCGTAAGAAAAGAGAGATTATAACAGTGGCGACGGGCAAAAACTAAAGAAAAATGGCGATTTCTTTAGAACAGTTACAGGTAATATTACAGCACCAGCAGAAGTTGTTAGCCTTGCAAAAACAACTATTGAGCACACTTTTCACTCGACCAGAAAATAAAAAATCTGTTTATGATGCAGTAACAGACATTTCAGAAGCATATCTAGTGGAGGGTTCAAATCCCTTTATACCTGAATCAGAACGTAATATTTGTAACGTTTCCGGCTCACAGCAAGAAAATACTGTGCTGAATGCTCATAAAGTTGTGGCAATACGAGATTATCAAGAGTCAGACCCTGTAGATGAAGCCCGGAGTTCAGAATTGAATGAAACACTACTGGTCCTGTCTAGCTCTGAAAATAAACTTCAGCTAGAACAAAATTATGGCCCACGTGATATTAGCCAAGAAAGCTATGAAGACTCGTATTCAGAAAATAACTGCAGTGATACAACGAACCCAATAATACCGAATGTTACTCAAAATCATTGTGAGACAGAAACTTATATTGAATCAGCTTATCCGATTTCTAATGACAATGTATCAGACATGGGTTCTCAGAACAATGCATGTTATTTTGATGAAATTTCTTATAAAAATCAGGAAAATATATCAGCTGAGTCAAATTATGGTCAAAAGTCTAATTTAATTCTGTTAGATGATGATTTCCGTAATGATCCATTATCCACTGATGAAATTCCTAATGGATTTGAAAGTAATGCTTCAGATGAATTAAACTTTGACCTCAAATCAAAGGTCGTTCATTATCATCTAGTCGTTTCTAGTGGATCCGACATTCAATGCGAGAAACGTCGTTTAAATAAAGTTCTATTATTTGTAACTTGGAGATATAAGGACCCGACATTGTTTCGCGGAGGAGGAGAATGTTGGAGAATTAAAGGTTATGCATACTTTTTTTAAAGAAAAATCAAAACGCCGGGAACAGACATGTCAGTCTCTGTGCAAGGAAAAAGTGATAATTCTTCATTGCCTAGACGATGGACTAATCGAAAGCACAAGCCAGTCACTCAGTTGCAGTTGGACCCTAGCAACAGATCCTACGAATCTGCTCAGAGGGGAGGTGTTAGCGGGACATAGACTAGATTAAAGCATGCTCAATGCATGATTGTTTTGGTGCACGCTGATTGGCTGATTCTTATCCAATCAGCACTAGTCGATAGTCGGAGAATACTCTGGAATCTTCTTATGTAAAAACTATAAGTATATCGACGTTTTCCCCTATTGTGCTTCTGACTTGCTATTTGGATTATAATCTTTTTCCTGTTCAACCGTGTTCTGATTTGGGGACTTGTCGAGTGAATCGGTGTCCGAGAATACTAAGCAATAGGAATAGCTGGGTCATTAACCGTAAGAAGAAAGAGAGGTTTATAACAATTTCAAACAGTGAATCCCCAAGACCATCCTTGTAATAAATCGTTAAGTTGATAAAAAAACTCTTCAAACCCATAACGTTTAATGCTAACTCACAGACTGAAGTGTCAAAGAACAGAGCGCATAGGCACAATTCCTCATCACTGCCGCTAAACAAACAGTTCCCCTATTCTGTTATTTTTACCCTCAATATTGGAAAGCAGCCTTTTTGCGCTAATTGCTTTGGAATGAAAACCAAAATACTTTAGTAGATTTTTCTCGGTAAAGTGAACATAATTGTCAGTAACGGTTGAGATAATAAAAAAGCAACCATACATTTTGTTCAAATTGTACTGTAGTGATTAAAAAATACCAGTGAATTTGTAAACACAAACGAACGATTAGTAAGATAAAACTAGTGGACTGAAGGACTCACAACGATGGGTGTTTTTACACAAATACCTATAATGATTAGAAGTATTCAAAATGAATCGCTAACTAAGAATCCCCCAAGTGGTTCAATTTAGGATAAGTAGAGCTAGATGAGCACAACTGGACGTATTATGTTTGGAATTCGAAAT